CGGGACCGTGTGCAGCTTCATGGTTTTTCGGACGCCTCCGAACAGGCATACGCTGCGGTGGTGTACGCGAGAACAGTCGATGATCAAGGCAACTTTTCGGTGGTACTCATTGCGGCTAAATCTCGGGTGGCGCCAATCAAGCAAGTGTCACTACCTCGTCTAGAGTTGAACGGAGCGCTGCTACTCACGGAGTTGATGCGTCGTATTACTGAAGCCTTACCACACCAGCAGATCGAACACTGGGCATGGACAGATTCGACCATCGTTCTGCAATGGCTGTCTTCGCATCCCCGAAGGTGGAAGACATTTGTAGGAAACCGGACATCTGCAATTTTGGATTACCTGCCTCGAAGCTGCTGGAATCACGTTTCTAGCAAGGATAACCCTGCAGACGTTGCATCGCGTGGACTATCACCAGATGAACTTGCCAACAATCAGCTATGGTTTCAAGGAGCACCGTGGCTGAAAGAAGATGAATCCGATTGGAAGCGAAGCCCAGCACCACAAACCGATCAAATCGTTGTGTACACTGACGACGAAAATTATCAACTATGAGGTTGAGAAGCAGCTAATCGTTAATTGTTCCAGCTTTTCACTTTTGGTTCGTTCCTTGGCATACGTGTACCGTGTGATCTACAACTTCAAATCCGTCGTACTCAAGCAAGGCACCAACGAGCGACACATTGGAGAGCTGACTTTGGACGAGCTATATCAAGCTAAGATACATCTGTTGCAAGCTGTGCAGCACGAGGTATACGGCCAAGAGTTAGATTTGCTGCGGAAGGGTAAGTGTCTCCAACCTAAGCATATCCTTTCGGCATTGCATCCCTTTTTGGATTCAGAGGGAACCTTGCGTGTGGGCAGCCGTCTACATAATTCGGCCCAGCCATACGAAGTAAAACATCCAATAATCCTTCCACAAAATCATCGAGCTACTAGTGCGCGATCTGCATTTGCGCAACCTTCACGCAGGATCGTCTCTTCTGACCGCAATTGTCCGTCAACAGTATTGGATAGTTGGTTGCCAGACGGTAGTTCGGAAAGTAGTGCAGGGATGTATGCGATGTGTGTGACTCAAAGGCAAGACTGCTGGTCAACTCATTGGAACCCTTCCACCGGCAAGAGTGCTAGCCACAAGAGCCTTTTCACATGTCGGCATAGACTATGCTGGTCCTTTGAAACTGAAGGCAACATGCTTATGAGGAATTAAGATCACCAAGGGGTACATTGTGGTGTTTGTGTGCCTCTCAACTCGAGCAGTTCATCTCGAGGTAGCCAGCGATCTCTCGTCGAACACGTTCCTTGGGTCTCTGAAGAGATTCATATCCCGGCGTGGTTACCCTATCGAAATTCGATCGGACAATGGCAACAATTTCATTGGCGCCGATCGTAAACTGCAGGAATTCATCGAACAGATTATGTCAAACAGTAAGGATGCCAGTCGTTATCTTTCTAATTTGGGAATCAAGTGGGTCTTTAACCTCCCATCGGCGCCGCACATGGGCGGTATTTGGGAGGCTGCGGTACGCAGTGTCAAGAAGCATCTAGTGGCAGAGTTGGGAGAAGGAGCAATTACGTTTGAGGATGTGTCTACAGTGCTGTGCCAGATTGAATCATGCCTCAACTCGCGGCCTTTGTGCCCCTTGTCCAGTGACCCTGACTGTGCCGAGGCACTAAGAGTTACCTCTATGCTAACACCTGGTCATTTTTTGATCGGGCAGCCTATGAACCTGGTTCCAGAACCCAACATGAAGCATCTACCGTCTAACCGCCTAGATCGGTGGCAAGAAGTGCAGAGGCATCCGTGAATATTTGGAACAGACGGAAGGACGAATACTTAGCAAGCTTGCAACTGCGTAGTAAGTGGCGTACTCCTCAACCAAACATCAACGTGGGTGAATTAGTGTTAGTCAAAAACGATAACGCACCACCAGCACAGTGGGAATTAGCCAGAGTGGAAATGATTCATCCAGACGCATCAGGAGTGGTTCGGGTGGTGACCTTGCGCCGTGGCTCAACTGTGTACACGCAGAAAAAAAACATAGGTGAATCAAATAAAGTTCGTTTCACTTTAAACAAAATTTTGAATAGAATATGGATCAATAAAATTGATAGAGTAATTCAACAAAAACATTGAGTTGAAATAATTATAATAACTTTATTAAATTGATCATCGGTAATTATTGATTCAAACAAAATGTTTGCTTTGATCAAATTGAAGCAATTTTTGAATCAATGTACGTTTTTTGTTGGCTTGAAACATCATTTTAATTATTTAAGAATCGTTGTTTTCAATGCCCAGGTTGTCTTTATTGAAAAAAATATTGCAAATAACATGTAAAAGTAGTAAGAAATACGAGAAGTCTTTGATCGATTGAGACAATTGAGCAGTCACTGTTTGTCACGTTCGCTTAATTAAGTTGGCATACTCGTCATATTCGCCAGAGCCAGAACCATTCTGGTGTTGATTCTGATGTTATTGGTGTTAATGTTGACTATTTGTGTTGCTGGATCTGCTGTAAGTGCAGCGATGGTGGCTGATGATGACGATGATGGTTCAACAAGAGATGGTTCTCTTAAATCTTCTGAGCCAGACGTTGTGGTTGGAAATTTGATGATTATGCGCCTGGAAGTTTGGGGGAACCATATTTTGGAGGAATAGTGAGGGTCACTAGGAGGAGGTGAAGGAATTTTAATCGGCATCGGTAGCCGTTGTTTGTCTCAGCTCCTATTGCTTGAAGGAAGTTGGGCTTTTCCTAAATTTCGATGATGTTACATTACTTTTGAAGGTTCTCTTGCTGAATTGGAGGACGTGGCGTCAACATCTGGATTGCTACAACTCGGCTTGTTGTTATGGTTTGTGTCCACTGAGCATATCCACATCTGGAAATGTGAAATAATAGAAGATTCGTAAATGCTTATTTTGAAAGGTTCGCCTTCCACCTACCTGGTTCTCCTGGTCGAAACACGTTTGCCATTGATTGCGGAATAGTAGTTTTCGGTATGCTTGGAATTGTCGAAACAAACTCTTGGATCTTCTTTTTAAAGAAATAACATGAAATAAATTAGAAATATTAACATAGTTGAAAAGATGTGAAATGCATGCCGACACAGACTGACAGTTTGACACATGCAGTTCAAACAATTTTATTATTTTGATTTAAATGGAGTGCTGCATTTATTTAAACCATTTTTATGAATTGAATCAAACATAAATTTCGTATTAAAAATAACAAAATATTTTGTTAATTTACGCCTGAGTGTTTTTTCTGCGTGTACCAAAGACCGATCCATAAGTTATGTGTGCTGCCGTCGGATTGAAGCCACTTGTGGCTTCAAGGCGGGGTGGATGTTCCAGTTTCGAAGCACCCCCCGACTTATGTTTACCTTCGGGTTGAACCAATTTTCTATTTCCGGAAAAACAATTTGAAATGTCAAATGAATTTAGTTTGTTTCATTCGTCCAGAAGAATAAACGTGTTTTTGAAATCGTAGCAAAAAAAAAGTATATTTTCGATTTCCGAAGGGCAGTCCAAGCTTTAAATCCGCAAAAGTACAGTTCGCTAATACCCAAACAGCCCCTGACCCCCTTGTACATCATAAAATGAAATGACAATATGATTGAAACCGATCTTATGTGCACATAATAAGATCATCAACATTTTAAAAATAGAACGCGTTAAATAATTCCTTATTGACATCAAACGAACTCATATATAATCTCGCAATGAGGATTATAATTGAATCATAATTTTTCATCTTAAACAAATTCAACCAATTTTGAATTGCATCTTATGCAACTACAACTTGATTTGGATATTTATACGATTTTAAACGAACATCCTTATACGATTTGTGGTTTGCTGGGAAAGCAGTTCTACGTCAAAAATAGACGTCACATTTAGTTTGACATTTAGTTGTCATAATTGGTGAGGGGCATTCGAATGGAATATTAAGTGATAATGTAAATAAATTTGAAATTATTTTCATTTCACACTGAAATCACGACTTAAAAGCGTTATGAGCAAAAGCATTAAGCCTTTCTAAACTAGCTAGATTGCTGTGAAAATAACAATGACAAACTTTAAACCTCGCTTTAAACTGTATCAATTCAATGCACATGAATTTTTATTAACGTCGATCAAACAATCAATTGAAGCTTCCCTCAGTGTTTTCTGACGTTTGACAAGCCAGCCTAGTTAGCGAGTGGAACTCGCCAACTTGGCTGCGCTTTTAGCCCAGTTAGCGAACAAGTAGTGAAGTGTGTAAACGACAAACGCAAGGGAATTGACTATGCGTGCCACAGATGGCGGTACTACCAACCGGTGGAAACTAACGATTTTAAATTGGCTTACTACTTGACTAGCCTATGTTTGTTTTAATTAGCTATGAAAATTTGACAGATAAAATGAGGGGTTCGTGGATTTTCCTATGTTTCGAGGGGTGCATCGATTAGCTTGGGACCGAAGAGAGCACCAGAGCTGAGCCAAACAGTTGAGCACCTTTCTTCGGGACCTTCTGGTCTTAGAGTTACCTCTATGTTACTACCAACTACGATACTTTTAATTTTACCGTTAAATGCTTGTTCGATGAACAACTTGCGAGTGTTATGTCTGTTTGTGTGTGTTGAAAGGTTAATGACCAATACCGGTGTCGACAGAACAAACCTTCACGAAACTCGCGAACTATGCATATAAAAAAAAAAATATTATAACTAAAACTCTATCACACTCTTCTTAACTTTGCTATTAGGAAGGTTCGCTTTCAAAGCCTCTATGAGACGAACCAGCCTATGGCTGAAATTCTCTCTAATAATGGAAAACAGGCCCGCTGGCGGTTGGTGAATAGCTGCTTCTTAGTAAGAACAACCGTAAAAACCGAAAACATTATCTTACAAACTTAAGAATTTCGAAGCAAGTGAACATAAGTCTGTCCTTATCACAGGATGTTTTTTTTCATTGATTTAGAACTTGACATAAACCTATCTCCGCTTACATCCTGTATAGCAGTGTCCTAAAAACTTTATTTAAATTTTTTGCACCTTTCTTAGACAATAATTAAAATATTCATTTCCTTTACAATAAAGACTGAAAGAACTGATTGGAGGGTGAAAAAATAGATATTATTGAAAGCAATTGTACGCACTTTGACATGGTTCATAAATGTTCTACTATATTCAACCATCCGGTAGTATGCGGGTGTGGTGGTCTTCCTTCGCAACACTTGGCGATTGGTCTATTTTTGAAACGGATCTTCAGTGGAATTGACATAATTTAGAAATTTATCTAACCAAATAGAGTAGCATTCTGTTTGTTGTATTCAGCCGGGAACCGTATAAGCAATAATTAAAACAGAATGAATACATTTTAGCAGCGAAATCATACATTGATTGAATCCTAATTGTTGTTTCTGCGTTCAGTATGCTAGCTACCGCCGGATGGTGAACCCGTGGGACCCGTCTGGCCCGGCTGGCATTCTCAGAACATTGTTATTGCTATTGTGGCCAAGTGGGCCACTGTACGCGGGCATTGGTCCCCCCAAACCATGATGGTAGCCAGTGGATGATTGTGGCATTCCATAAGGCGATATTTGTTTCTGATGGGGATGCTGAGGATGATGTTGGTGATGCTGAAAGTGGTAACCACCGGGAACGTGTGGACCGACTTGCTGTTGCTGCTGCTGATAGTAGTGATGATTGATTGATGCTGTGGCCTCCGGTGGCAGCTGATTCCGTCCGGACGGATGAGGAGGATAGAATGGACCAGGTCCAGGATGCTGGGGTGGGTGCTGTTGCATATGAAAGTTCCCAGGAGGTGGCCGGAAGGAATTTTGCGGCCTATCTAGTCGAATGTTACCACCGTTGTTATTTGTGGTATTATTGTTGTTTATTCGGTACCCATTGATATTGGGACTGCCTTTTTTCGGTGCTCTAAAAAAAAAAGACGACGTCTCAATTTGAAGATAAGAGAAGAAAGTTAGCTTACACTCACTGTTCGATTTGTTTTTGCTGTTGTTCCTCTTCGTCGTGAGCCGATCCCAATATCCGCAGTCGTGCCTCCGCGTATGCTTGTTTCCGTTGATCCAATGATTTGATTTGAGTCTTAGGTTTACTCTCAACCGTTGCCTTTTCCTCCTGGGCTTGGGACTGGGGCCGGCGGAGAATCTGCATCTGTGGTCTTTGTAGAATCATCCGTGGACGGAGTTCTTCTTCCAGCATTGCAGTTAAACTGCTGTTACTTGTCCCTCCGCCGGATTGACTACTTCCGTCACTACCACTTGGCAAATTGGAATCTAAATTAGGCAACTTACTCAGCCGATCAGTCAACTGAAAGTGAAACAATGTGCTTTTTAGAATGATTTCACTGAGACGATCCCAAAGAACTAGGAACGAGCAATTGATTTTTCTATAAACTTCAGAACCACTTTCCAACAGTGACCTCGAAAAGGTAAATAAAGTGGATGCAAATGGTGATCTAATGCTTTTTTTTTCAATGTCAACTAACCAGATCCCTTGGATCTCTTTCCGGACAATTTCATCCACGGATGAAATCCCGATTATAAATTCCGTTTCCGCGAAACACTAATGATTACGCTGTCCGAGCGAGGCGAGGTGACATTCGCGTTCCACTTACCCGTTCTTCGTCGATTTCTTCCCAGCTGTCGACAAGGTCCTGTTGTCCTTTGCTAGACATGTTTGTTCCACTCCGTGTAACCGTTCCGTCCCCAATCCACGACTGCCGCTACCGAATCCGGATAGTTTGGTCAATTTCTAGCACAAGGCAACTAAATTTTGGGATGTTTGACGAGCGGAAATATGCAAAAAATTGCAACGCGAAGGAATTTCCAAATTTTGCACACCGAGAAAAGTGAAAACGAGCGAACAACAGCAACAGTAACGAGAGTCGTGCCCGTGCGAGTTGTCAACTTGCGATCATCTTCGTGCAGCTGACAGCTGTCACTGTCAGGGGTGCGTTCAAATTTGATTTTGAGATTGGAAAAGGATTCCCCGGTAGAGTTCGCTTAGGTTTTGAACCGACAAATCAATAGTGATCATGCAATGTCCCAAACAATAAAAATACTCAGAGGGAGAGATGTGCGGAGAGAATGTTTTGAGCCAAATGAACTGTCAAAATCTTTTTTTTTTTTTTAATTCTTTATTAAAGAGATTTTTAGCCTTAGGCTAGTTCATCTCTAACTCAAAATCTGAGCCAAACGAGCATTCCCATATCCGACGATTTCTTATTCTTACTAGATTAAATTTGAGAGTATTGCAATCGATCAGAAATTAAATCACCTTTATGTTTCGTGTGCTTCTCAAATTCAACTAGTTTTTAAAATCAAAAGCAATATTCTAACTCTATTGATTAATTGATCTTAGTTGGCAAATTAATGGCACCACCCTAATAAAAAATAACCATAAACGAACGATAACCCAAATCATTGAACTATTCCACAAATGGTTTGGATGATACCCAGAACACGTCGTTAAGCAAATTAACCATACAATTTTTATTAGGGCAATAAATGAGCAAAATATTGCGATGCAATCAATTATTATTTTGCACGTAAATCGAATCAAACGTAAGTCATGTGAAATGCAAACTTCTAGCAAGGCTTGCAAGATAATTTAGGTACAAATCCCTGCTGCTGAATTGTATTTCGTTTTCTCCGCACATCTTTCCCTCTGAGTATTTCTAGTAAACATACTGAATTATTGCTACTGTTGACGCACCCACTGGGCAGGGCACAAGTAGAGGTGAAGCTACCGTCCACTCCCTTGAACGACCATCGATCGAACGAGAGGAAAAGCTGCAACTATCAAACTGGCTCATGTTTGTACCTTTGTACCGAGAAAACACGTCAAAAATTAGCAATAATTCTAAAATTTACAAATCTCGAATACTTTTTCGAAGGGACGCATCAGATTATGTCAACAAGGCATTTGATAGTGGATTTGGCGTAACTGGTAACTCACACACGGAAAATTTCCCATATATGGTGGTAGTGTTAGCAACCGGTCCGCACTCGTGTTTATTTCAGTTACCATGCGGACGTAGTTTGTGATTAGCCCCGGTCCCTTTCAAATTGTATCATTATTTATGTACGGCCTTAAATTTGAAATGACGTTTAACATTCATTTAGTGATGACCAATTTTCACTGGAATAATCGATTAATCGATTAACGAACTGAAAAGTAAAATATTTGTAATCAGTTATATAATGCTGATATAAGCATTAACTTCTTCAGAGGATCATCACCCATCGTTTCAAACATATACTGCACTCTCATTGGTGGAAAAATGACAGCACAGCGAACAAAACATAATCGATTAGATGTTAATCGAATAATTTAAAAAAATGGGACATCTCTGATTTTGTTGTGATTGTTTTGATAAAAAAGAGCGCAAAATTTCATCTCTACCGAGGGGGAAGCAAAACCACAAAATTACGTTGAATACGGGGGGTATTCATTGGATGAAAGGGACCGTGAAAGAGGACACTAAAATAGAAAGTTTTTCTTCCGACAGTTTCATCTTAGTATTCATCTTCGGTGTTAGCATGTGTTAGCTACCAGTTACGCCAAAACGATGATCAATTGCATTGTTTACAAAAGCTGATACGTCTCTTTGAAAGAGTAATCGAGAAATAATAATAAATTTCATTGCGATAGTGTCTAATTAGATTGAAATAAATTAGTTTTATTCTTAAGGTAAGCATTAGCATTCAACATGTTAAATTCAAACAATAGATTAACCCATGCGTGGCAACTGAAATCCTAACCTATCCAATGGATGCTTAAATGATAATTCCAATGATTAATTTATCTATCATATTAACAAATAAATTTCTAGCTTGAAGCTGCTCGGTAACAGCAATTGCAAAACAGTATTTAGTTGGAATTTACCCCGGAATTCGCAACAGTTACCACGTTACTGGACGACACAAATGCTTATTTATAGTGGTACAAACTTGTTTCAAACAGAAAACAAAACGGTAAATGTCACAACTTTTTTGATTTCCAATATGGAGTGTTGAATACTCGGGGACAATCTAGTGGTGTTTGATTTTTTTTTTTTTTCGAATAATCGATTAACCGATTAACGAAACGATTAGGCTGCTGCTGATGATAACCTAGGTTTTCTTGCAAAACATTTTTATCTTTTAATCCTTTGTTCCTCCTGAGCTTCTGCTTTCGTGGATACCAACCGGTTTTGTATTTCCTTTTGTTCGGAATGGAGGTTTTCAATCCAAAATATTTTTCTTTCCCAGCAGAGTGCCTTACCCCCTGGGAATAGCTTTTTTCTGTGGAAATACGATTCCATACTTCTTAGATTTTTTTGATGACATTGTCACCAAAGAAGAATACTAAGATGAAACAGTCGAAAGAAAAACTTTCTATTTTAGTGTCCTCTTGCACGGTCCCTTTCATCCAATGAATACCCCCTGTATGCAAGGTAATTTTGTGGTTTTGCTGCCCCCTCGACAGAGATGAAATTTTGCACTCGTTTTTATCAAAACAATCACACAAAAATCAGAGATGTTCCATTTTTTAAATTATTCGATTAACAACTAATCGATTATTTTTTGTTCGCTGTGCTGTCATTTTTCCACCCTCGAGAGTGAAGTATATGTTTGAAACGATGGGTGATGATTCTCTGGAGAAGTTAATGCTTATATCAGCATGATATAACCGATTACAAATATTTTACTTTTCGGTTCGTTAATCGATTAATTGATTATTCGAATGAAAATCGGCCATCACTAGATGAATGTGAAAAGTCATTTCAAATTTAAGGCCGTACATAAATAATGATACAATTTGAAAGGGACCGGGGCTCATCACAAATTACGTCCCCATGGTAACTGAAATAAACACGAGTGTGGACTGGTCAATACGAAACTAACGATTTTAAATTGGCTCACTACTTGACTAGCCTATTGTTTCCAAGCCAATCGATGACGTACCCCATTCTAGTCAAAATTCTAGTACTACACTACGTTTGTTTTGATTCGCTATGAAAGTTTGACAGATAAAATGAGGGTTAGTGGGTTTTCCTATGTTTCGAGGGGTGAATCGATTAGCTTGGGACCGAAGAGAGTACCAGAGCTGAGCCAAAAAGTTGAGCTCGTTTCTTCGGGACCTTTTGGTCTTAGAGTTACCTCTATGCCTTTACTGTCCGCAGCATATTTAGCGAAAATTGACCACTTTGTCAAGCAGTTTTGGCGCGACTTTCTACCAGCGATTCCACAAAAATGGACCAACTAATTTCTATTATTTTATGAAACGCACAAATGATGGCTACTTTTCTCGAGGTTCTAGAAGAAAAAATCTCAAATTGATGTTTTATTTCAAAGTTCAAGTGGTAGTAAACGTCATTTTAACTGCTCGAATGAAGTGGTTTATAGACGATCTCCGGAAAAGGTTATGAGTCTGAAACATTGCGGAGGCTTACGGATACAAATCAATACAAATACAAATTATCCAATATGGTATTATAATATTTCGTGTAACAAAATTTGATCGGAACACCTGCATTTATTTTCAATGTATTAGAAAGTTTTTATATCAACGAGGAGAGATAACCAAGCGCTTGCATCATTCATTTGAAAAAATGGGAATTTTTTCACCCATTTTACGGTAAACACAATTTAAGAAAATGGGTTAAAAACACACATATATTGACAGACCACCTAGCAGACCACCCATTTACCCTATAGACACTGTATATAGACTGGACAACGTTTGTCTTAAGCAGCCAAACGAACTGTCAAAAAGTGTAACCAAACGGGCTGTCAACCTTTGGTTTGCTTCAAAGGAGCAAGTATTGTGATCTAGAGTTGTTTTGATAAAAAAACAAAATATAAACAAAGAGGCGAACTCCTAGTAAAATTTTGTTTCTCTCAATGTAAGTTTTTCCAACATATTATTTGTACGCGGCCGGACTTGTGATAGTGAAAAGGTTCCTCTCTCTAAACAGGATTACAATTTCAACATCCACTACGGTTTGCGTTTCTGCTTTCGATTCATCAATAAGTTTCTTGAATTGTTTTTTCAATTCCCATGGGAAACGTTCCCAACCACCTGGCTAATTGAGGTCTATCTTCCAGAAGCAAACATTTTATGGGAGTGTCAACAGTACGCCCGAAAAAAAATAACAACAAAAATACATTAAAAAACAATGTAACAATAAAACGAAAATTATTGTCTTATACCCCGTTCACATTACAGCGTATATCACGTGATATAGGCTGTCTTGCAATGAGCACTCATACATCTAGTTTTCACTGGAAATCCTATGTATGAGTGCTTATTGCAAGACAGCCTATATTACGTGATATTATAGACTGTAATGTGAACGGGGTATTAACAATGATTTATATTGTTACGTCTACAATAAATTTACCTTGATTTATGTTGTACAAAACAATAAATTTCATGGTAAATGGAAAATTTACAATAAAAAAGGGGGGTTGTTAAGTATCTTAACAATGAAATTTTCGTGATTTTCCCATATATTTTTTTTTCAATAACATTATATATTATTGTTATTTTACTGTTGGTTGGCGAATTTATTGATTAAAAAAAATAACAGTGTACTTTAGAGTGTATGTGTTGGCTTGACAGATCTACTTTATCGACTTTAAAAATAAATAGAAAAAATAAAACATTGCCCCGGGAAGGGAAGGGGGTGGTATGTCTGTTACGGGTGGTCCTTTTTTTAATGGTTATGGATCGAGATTCGATCCGGAACTTGTGAGAAATGCAGGCCAACTCCCCTGCGCTCGATATCCCTAGGTCACGTCTCCTTGGTGGTTGAGCGTCGTTGATAAGTTAATGCATTCGACTGGAGAGAATCGCCCATGAAATATGCTTCCACCTGAGAGTTCCTTCCTGACATCTTCAAGTGGTGGAATTTTTTATTATTATTGTATGATTATTGACTGCACGGAAAAGGTCTCCATTAAGCTTTAGAGAGGGTCTAGGATAAGATATGAGCGGCCTAGTTTTGAGCCAAACGAACTGTCAAAGCCAGAGCCATACGAGCAGCGCCTATCTTAATTACATTGGCAGTGTTGCTGACCCTCTCATAGTCTGCATGCTTCAATCAGATTTATTTTTATTGTTCGTGAAGTAACCCACAATGAAAATACACCAATATTTAATGTAACAACAATTTTTATTGTAATAGAGTTGTTCATTATTGTTCATGATCGAATCATGTTAACAATATAATAAATGAAAAATACGATAAAAATCATTGTAACAACATTTTATTATGTACATTCATTGTACATCTAGGTAGCAGTTTTGCCTTTTCGGAAGAGTACAACATTATAACAATCATTTTTATTGTCGACAATAAATATTAATGTTAGAGCATTGTTTCCACTGAAAATTTCACTGTAATTTTTTTTTCGGGCGGTAGGTATAATTTCAAATTAGTATGAGCCTCTATTTCATCTTTCACAATTTTCCAGCTGATGATGTACGACGACGACTGAAAAACGTACGGTAGAGCACGGTAGAGACGACGACTGAAAAACGAATGGAATCAAAACAAAAGCAAAGGAAAAACAAAAACAAAAATCTTTTTCTTGGCTTATTGAGCTGCTCCCTGAAAGTTTGAACAAATTCCTCGACAAATTCAAGTGATACCAGATTTATTTTTCAAATTAATGACATTTATTAGGGCTACCAGATTGCATGATTTTACATTGTCCGGTCCAGTGTCTGTTTTTATCATTTACCATCACATGCAAGGAGTATCGCTTCAACCCAGTGTCGATGAATTGCGTTTGTTTTGAACATCTTCGTAGTTACGAAACGAGCGAAATGAACAAATGAGTTTATTATACATCAACGAATACGCGTTTGTTGATATTAACCAGTGCTCGATTATCAAACCCAAAATTGTCAAAATCAGAAGTGATCCTCAAAAGCAAAATAATCAACGACATTTTGGGCAAAATGATTATTTTGAATATTGTTGACCACACTGCCTAAATCATCGATATTATTATCAGTTCAGCTTGAAGCAATAATTTGCCGTCGACTTATGTCAAAAACCACGTTCTTCAGCGCTATATTTGTTTAAAATGAAAATAATCATTTGATCCTCAATATCATCCCGACCAAGATGAAAACGAATATCAATATTTACAACAACAGAGGCGATAATAAGAATCCAGCCACGAATGAAGAAAAACAAATGTTATTTTTGATACTCAGAGGTTGCCTAGATCAAGGGAATTTGTTTATATCAAAATTCAAATTCATGTAGGTAGTTGGTCTATCTGTTAAGGTTTTCTTCATTTTCAGCTAAATTGAGTGTAGAAAAAAGGATTTTTATCAGCACCCATTAATGAGTAAACCATAGTTTACCCATTAAATGAGGAGGGGCACTTTTAGCGGAAATGGGTATTTTTATACCCATTGATGGGTTTTCGCGAAACACCGTGTACAGTAGAAGTATGGACGTATGTCAAAAGTTGTTCCAATCGAACCGTCAAAATACACCGCTTTGCTCGATTGGAACAGCTTTTTTCAGGCTCTGAACCATTTGGTGGATTATTTTAACTTTTGGTTAAAATTTGACAGATGGAAAGTTATCGATGAACCCGAGCATGGTTATTTCTGACAAACAAGAAGTTAAATTTTGAAAACCGGTTGATCGACAGCACGGGGATTTTCGAACATAGAAAATATCTTTCGAAATGTCACTTTTCACCACGAGTTAAATTTAACTCGGCAAATGGTTCACAGCCTCAGTTTTGTGGCGACAGTCGTCCATACTTTAACTAGAGGGCTTTAGTAAATCCGACTAAAGCCAATGTCGGTACAATGCAGTCGAACTCGTTGCTTCTATTCCCCTTTTACCAAGTTTGCCGCTAGCTAAAGTTTCAAAAAGACCGCCCGTTTTCATTCACGAATCTCCATCAGGATCTCGTGTTTTGTTCGGTTAGTTTTCTCTGTTACGGTTCGGAGTGTGGGTATCAGCGCAGTGTCGTAAAAACAAAACGGTCCTTTCCTCGACGGAGCAACGAATCTGCTGATCCAGTAGAGCAAGCAACTCGTGTGTCGTGTACCAGCTCAGCATCTCCCTGTTCTCTTTTTGATGCATCGTCGAAATCTGAGATCCTTCTGCGTTCCTTCATTGCGCCGTTAGCTTGTTTCTTTTGTATTGCGCTTATATATAAAAACGGGTTTTGTTTAAATCGAATTGGGTTTTCGTATGTTGGTGAAGAAGAGCATAAAAAATATCCTACCTACATCGTTTATTTACGTTCAAGTTACTACGTCAGCCGCAAGGAAAGCGCAATGACTCCTCTGTAGTTCCAGTTTGTTGAACAAATATTGTCATTATTTAGTGTTGTAGGTAAAATACCTATATAATTTTGTGTTAATTGGCAAATTTGTGCTTAAAGTGCGTGAAAAGTTGTCTGGAAAAGCGTGCTAATCTAGTGACCCGAAGTGATTCAAAATCACTTTTTTCATGAGCTGACGGAAGATCGATGGTTCCCTTTCTGGTGAAGAAAAGAAAGTGAAAAAGTCGCAGAAATGGCCAGTAGCAACAACAACAACAACAATACGGCACCGGACACCCAATCGGCCACCCAGACCCAACATACCGTCGGATGGAGTCAGATTGAAAGCCAACCGGTGGAGAACATCATCTGGGGCCGGCTGTACGCGAAGAATCTCAAAATTAAAAGCCTCGGTACTAAAAACGCACTTCCACTCATTCCCAGAATTGCATCCTCCAGTTATGGTACATGATATGAGACTTTGAGTTAATATGCTAATTTAATCATGCACCTTGCGATTTACTAACAGCACTATTGGAATTAGGAAAAAAAAAAATATTTTATAAAATGTCTTATCTAAAATCGGTGATCATCTTTCGTTACAGATCTTTCCGCCGACGAGTTCAAGGCTGGCAGGAATGAGACGAATGATTTGTGTATCAGCAAGGATCACTTGCCGGATAAGATTTTGAGCAGAATCTCCAAAGTTCATTTTCAAATTCAAAAGGATACGGAGGATTTGCAGAGTCCCACCTACATAGTGGTAAGTTATGGCGTTTGATATATTAAATAATTAATTTTGGCTTTGTAATTTAATCGGTTATATAATACTAGCCATACACTTTAGGAGGGCTAACGCTATCCTAATTTAATGTTGGAGCCGATCAATTAAAAATATAAAGGGTGATACGGTCAAAATTTGGTCAAGGGTAAACGCGTGTAAATCGGTGAAATCGTTTATTTAAAAAATCAAATTAAATTTCTTTTTCAAGTTCAATTAGTATAAAATTCAGGAAAAATATTCAGTTAGGCTTCCGCTTTTCCAAATCCGAATTGCCGGGCCTTACGCTTGACCCCTGCCATCAGATTTTGTACAGCCACCTTGTCCACCTTCTTCGCCGCAGAAAGCCAGTTTGCCTTGAACTGCTGCTCGCCCTTAGCAGTTTTTTTGGTCTTCTTTAGGTTCCGCTTGACAATAGCCCAGTATTTCTCAATTGGGCGGAGCTCTGGCGTGTTGGGAGGGTTCTTGTCCTTGGGAACCACCTGCACGTTGTTGGCGGCGTACCACTCCATGGCCTTTTTACCGTAATGGCAAGATGCCAAATCCGGCCAAAACAGTACGGAACAACCGTGTTTCTTCAGGAAAGGCAGCAGACGTTTATTCAAACACTCTTTCACGTAAATTTCTTGGTTGACAGTCCCGGAAGCTATGAAAATGCTGCTTTTCAAGCCACAGGTACAGATGGCTTGCCAAACCAGATATTTCTTTGCGAACTTTGACAGTTTCATGTGCTTGAAAACATCTGCTACCTTTCCCCTTCCTTTTGCCGTATAAAACTCCTGTCCCGGAAGCTGCTTGTAGTCGGCTTTGACGTAGGTTTCGTCGTCCATTACCACGCAGTCAAACTTCGTCAGCATCGTCGTGTACAGCCTCCGGGATCGCGCTTTGGCCGTCGTATTTTGTTTATCATCGCGATTTGGAGTCACTACCTTCTTGTAAGTCGATAGTCCGGCTCGTTTTTTGGCTCGATGCACGGTTGTAGACGATACACCCAGCTTATTTGCGGCATCTCGGAGAGAGAGGTTAGGGTTTCGCTTGAAACTACCGGCAACTCTCTTTGTCGTCTCAGCGGCTTCCGGTTTTCGATTTCCCCCCGATCCAGACTTCCTGGCTGTCGACAAACGTTCCCCAAACACTTTAATTACATTTGTAACGGTTGATTTGGCAACTTTTAGCGATTTTGCCAACTTTGCGTGCGAGTAGCTCGGATTTTCGCGATGCGCGAGCAAAATTTTGATACGCTGCTCTTCTTGCTTGGACGGCATTTTGACAACTGAAGAGTGAATTCCAAAATCAAAATAGGAGCAACATTCTACACACACACACCTTCAAAATGAGGGGTGTTCAGGTTTTTTAAATGCAAAATTGAAAGAAATACGTCAAGTTGATATTGACCAAATTTTGACCGTATCACCCTTTATTATTATCACGCGGAGTCCCCTCCAACTTTTCGTGACGTTTTACATAATACATACGTTATAGACTACCATAATCTGTAGCACTACAAGTCCCATATGGATAAATAATTAAATCAAGAAGGGACGATTTAGTAGGGTTAATAACGGTTTAAACTCCTAGAGACCCTATAATAGACTCTTTGCTCCATCAATGTAGAGTGCGCTAGCCGATTTTGAGAGGAAATGTCACTGCAAACCCGGTACAGAAAACAAAATATTCCACGTGGATGATGATTTCAAGCACCTGCCCTGCGGTGGATAAATTAATCACGAAAGGTGGAAATAATTTCCTCTTCCTATGCTTCACGGTGAAAATGTCCATCCTCATCACGCTTTTGAGGTGGGCGCCGGCGCTGGTGGTGTAGTGGTAAGCGTGACTGCTTTCTAACACCCCAATGGGTCTGGGTTCAATCCCAGCCGAGGTCGGTGGGATTTTTCTGAGGCATAAAAATCTCTGGTCACGTTTTCCTTCGGAAAGGAAGTAAAGCCGTTGGTCCCGGCCCATGTGTGTTGTGAATAGGTGCGATATCCTACGCAGGTGTGGAAGCTGCCTTCCTGCACTTTCGGTTGCCGTCAATGGATGGCAATCGATGTCCGTCGGTGATTGGCACTAGATTGCGGAACAGAGACCGACACTAAATAAAGGAAAACAAGAAGATCACGCTTTTGAGGGTTCTCCTATTCACCGCCAGAGGCTGAGGCAATCGCTTTGTTTCTATTGGATTTGTCTATTCGAAGCATATGGGGTAGGTAAACAACTTACAACGCTAATTTTTTTGCACGTCAAACAACATCTTTTGGATTTTTTTTTTTTTAATTTCTTTAGAAAAACACCGTATTCCAAGGTGTCGGGGTGGCTAAAACCGATCTATATACGAAATGGTTTGTCACAGAATTCAAAGTCCTCTTCCGCCTTAAGAACATGACGCAATGAATTAATTGCGTATTACTTTATTTGCTTTCTATTGACTACTACCCACCGGTGGAAACTAACGATTTCAAATAAGCTCACTACTTGAATGGCCTATTGGTCCCAAGCAAATCGATTAATGTACCCCGTTCGTGGATTTTCCTTCGTTTCGAGGGATACATCGATTAGCTTGGGCCCGATGAGAGCACCAGAGCTGAGCCAAAAAGTTGAGCACGTTTCTTCGGGACCTACTAGTCTTAAACGCTGTCCAGACTCCAGGCGAGTAACAGAGGTGCCACAGTCGGAAAAAAAGTGTTAGTTTGTTTACTTAAATGAACCATGCCCATTTTGTTATGGCAAGTTTGCTATAAGAAATGCTCCTCGTGTTTATGAGCGAAATTCACATCAAAGATTGATTAATTGAGTAGGAAATCAGTTTGGCACGGGATTTGTGACCAGCATACCCCTTCCGGTCGTACGAAACAGGTCAAAAACAGTCCAAATCCGCAGATAAAAAAATTTGTTTTGAATTTCTGTATGGCAAAATAGTGAACTTTTCGTGAACATTAACGGCAAAGAACTCACCAACACTGGGAGACCGTGAGTTCCTGCCCACCTGTCATTTCCCATCTTGGTCCAGACCCGAGACGGCTAATACATAGGTGTAACAGTCGGAAGAAGTGTTAGTTTGTTTACTTAAATGAACCATGCCCATTTTGTTATGGCATGTTTGCTATAAGAAATGCGCCTCGTGTTTATTAGCGAATTTCACATCAAAGATTGATTAATTGAGTAGGAAATCAGTTTGGCACGGCATTTGTGACCAGCATACACCTTCCGGTAGTATGAAACAGGTCAAAAACTGTTCAAATCCGCAGATAAAATTTTTGTTTTGAATTTCTGTATAGCAAAATAGTGAACTTTTCGTGAACATTAACGGCAAAGAACTCACCAACACTGGGAGACTGTGAGTTCCTGCCCACCTGTCATAAAACCGTCTCGGTCCAGACCCGAGATGGAAAATGACAGGTGGGCAGGAACTCACAGTCTCCCAGTGTTGGTGAGTTCTTTGCCGTTAATGTTCATGAAAAGTTCACTATTTTGCTATACAGAAATTCAAAACAAAAATTTTTATCTGCGGATTTGAACAGTTTTTGACCTGTTTCATACTACCGGAAGATGTATGCTGGTCACAAATGCCGTGCCAAACTGATTTCCTAACAAACGTGGAAAGATGAACGCTCGTGATTAGGTAAAAAAAAAACACTATGGGTTGGAGTCCATGCAATGTCCGGTAGGTTAAAATCGCCAAGAGCAATAGCTTCGTCGGAAGGGCCTGCTTTGTCTGAAGCGAATAAAGAGGGATCGACAATGTGCGTCAATAAGCACCAAGTCACGGGTTCGATCTGTAGCGATGTACACTGCACAGAGAAGCAATTGACGATCACCAAGTTGAATAGCCACCCAGCGAATATTTCGAAACCAGCACCAAAGACATAGTTTGGAGTGGTTCGATAATTGAGCCATGTTTCGGTCAAAACTATAATATCGTAACAGTGATCCACGACGGCCAGATGATAATCTTCCACGAGGTCGTTCATACCGCCTACGTTCTGATAGTAAATCGTTATGTCCGACCTCCGCCATTTCGGGAAAAATGGAATGTTTAGCGTGTAGTTGCATTTGGGAGCTGATGGATGTCACTTGACGGAGGAAGGATGTTCGAGTAGGGCCGCTGGAAACCAAGATACTAGTGTGGAAGACCCCTTCTCCCATCTCAAACGCATGCCGGGACACTGCTGGTCGCTGGCAGGAGGGGCTCGACTGCGATGAGCGGAATACGGGTTTCCTCAGGGCAGACGGCAAGAATGCGTCCCGGAGAACGCGTCCCGGGATGTGATGGCTCCATGTTGCCGACTGGCAGATGTTTTAGGTAAGTTGAAGGCACTGGAATTATGATCATCAGGCAGTGAAAGTTCGCTATTAAGTATGTACTTGCCTAATATAGCAATCCACATCTAAACTCAGGGCCAGGACGACTTGGATGAACGCTGGCTGCAATAGGCGTGACTGATTTAGAGGAACTGGGGACTCCCAAAATGCTTTCTACGGTGCGTCCTGGTAGATAAGTAATTTGGCTCAAGAGATTTTCAGAAGGCGTCACCGAAATTTCGCTTAGGACCGGGGTCAGAATAAGCTGAGTATGGGAGAACTCAACACGCAACTTACTTACTTACTTAAGGGTCCTGTGTACCACCAGCGGTGCAAAGGGCCAACGTGAAAGACTTTCATCCTGGGCGGCTGCTCGCTTTTGCCTTGACCTGGGCCCAGGTCAGATTTCTATCGACTTGCTTAATTTCCTTATTGAGGCTCTGCCGCCATGAGCCCCTGGGTCTGCCTCTGCTGCGATGTCCTGCTGGATTCCAATCCAGCGCTTGGTTGCAGATTTCGTTTCCGCCCCGTCGAAGTGTGTGGCCGACCCACCTCCACTTTCACTCTCGAATTTCTGTTGCTATCGGCTTCTGATGACATCGACGATGGAGCTCGGCATTCGAGATCCAGTTGTGAGGCCACCAGGCACGAATTATATACCGCAGACATCGGTTGATGAAGAC